CCCGCCCCCCCCCCCCCCCCGATTACGGCTCCAGGTGAGTAATGATAAAAGCAACCAAGGCATGCCAGCCCTGAACCCTGTGGCCCTCCTTCCAGTGCTAGCCGCTCCGAATGCTCAAGGTGGAGCTCTGTCCCCTCCAGACCTCCCAAGGCCCATGTCTGGGACGAGGGTGCCCAGGTCTGCACCCCCAGCCCCCAAGCTCACGGCCAGCTTCCAAGCTCTGTGTGCGAGCCACAGCGGGCACCGGCATGGACAAGTGCCGGGGCTGCAGATGGAACCTCCCCTTCCTTTGGCTGAGCCCAGACTGGAGAGCCGCATGGGTTTGGTTCACACTCTCTTTGTGGCTGGCGGAATCTGGGGGCCGGTGGGCTAGCCATGTGCATATAGCCGAAGAGCGGCGCCGCTTCCTGCCCGGCACTCAGATGAGGGGAAGTGGGTGACGACGCCACTGAAACCCAAGCCTCGTCCGGCCCGAGCGGGAGGCTGAGGGCAGCACCCGGGCAGGTGGCCTGCTAAGCTCTGCGGCTCAGCAGCCTTGGCTGACAGCTGCCACCTGCCACCTGCCACCTGCTCTGCTTCTGAGCCAGGCTGCCACGGCCCAGACCAGGTGCAGCACCGAGATCTGTGCCGAGCAAGTGCTGAGGGAGCCGAGTGGGTGGCAGGGCTTCGGGCTTGGGACAGGTGGCCGCATGGTGCCAAGTCCCCTTGACTCTCAGATCGTCCCTTGCACCAGCTGCTTCTGCACTGGGCCCTCAGAATGGCCGAGCAGCATCCTCTTACAGGATACCATGTGGTGCGTGGGGCAGGCTGTGAACGTGCCCTTCAGAGCCATGCTTCTCTCTCCGGTTCACCCTTCCTGCCCCCCGGGCAGCCCACGTCCAGGAAAGGGAGTGCTCCAGACGGGGAGAGAGCCAATCTCTCTCTCTGGGGCTGCATGCTCTCCTCTCTGTCCCGGAGGCTTGGACCTGCCCCTGCTCTGACCCTTTGTGTGCTTATGATGTCCCAAGCCCTTGGCCGGGTGAGGAGTGCTTGGCTGGGACCTGCTCCATGGAGACCGGTTCAGGCCTTGTCCAAGAGGTGCTGCTGGAGTCTGCCCTGAGGAGGTCCCTTCCAGGCCATAGCTGGGGTGCTTCTAGGCTGGGCCTGAGCTCCCTGGCCCTGGGTAGTTGCCAGGGCCGCTCCTCCCTTGGCATTCCACTGGGTGGCCCAAAGAGTCCCTGCCTCACTCAGGAGTCAATAGCTGCTTAGGCCAATGGCCCTTCCTTTGCCCACAGCTCTAAAAGGACAAACACCACCCCCTGCATTTGGCATTCCAAAGTGCTCTCAGTTCGCCATCTTGCCGGGCCACTGCAACCACGACGTAAAGCCATGGTGCGGCTCCTGAGTGACGGAAAGAACAAGACGCCAGACGGGTCCAGGGACTTGACAGAACGCGTCGAGTGGGTGACTGGCCTAGACCCAGGCGGATCCAAACAGCCTTCCTGATCTGGGCTCCTGCTGCCCTGTGGGGTGAGGTCTTGCCAACGCCTCACAAAGGCCCTCTGCAGGTTTGCCCGGGCAGCGTGGCGAGTGTTTGAGGCCAGTGTGCACCTCCCCAAGGGTGCTGCCGGGAGCTTGTGAGCAAGAGGGCCAGCAACCCAGAGCCTTCAGGAAGCCAGTGCTGTGGGAGAGGGCCTACTAGGTTGGCAGGGGCTCAGCGAGGCCATTCTGGGAGGAACGGGCTCAACCTAGTCCAACCAGCGTCTGGACTTGGCCCCCTGCCATGCAGCGCCCACTCACAACCCACCCCTTTCTACTCCTCAGACCTGTCTGGAAAGGGTGGGCCAGGCCCCTTCCCAACCCTCTTGGCCACACAGGGACGAAGCTGAACACGGCTGTTTGCTTTTGCACACTGAGGAGGACGTGGCTCGCCTCCCCCAGGCCTCCTGCCCCATCCAGAGGGGGAGCTCCGGCAGGACCCCCGACCCAACCCCTCCCAGTTCTGTCCCCTTGACCACAGATCACCCCCGTGTGCAGGCCCGGGTCTAAGGTGTGCTAAGGCCTCTCACATTCTCACTGACAATTGGCGGCGGGAGTGCGTGCCTCCGGCTGAGAGCTAGCTCCCACGATGCCCACCGCGGGCGCTGGGTGCTTGATGAGCTCGTGGGACAGTTCGGGCGGGCTGACGCTGCGTGCTGCGGCACCAGCCGTGTCGCCCGTCCTGAGCGTGTCGGAGAGGGCCTTTGGCCGGCCTACCTTGATGTCCGTGACCAGCCAGTGTCTCCAGAATCTCGCTTTGGGCTCGGACCTGCTGGGGGCGTCCGGGTCCACCATGACCAGGATGTAGGTCGCGCCCTGTAACACACACGGCAGAAGGAATGGAGTGTGGTGGGACGTTGGTAGGAAACACCAGGGGCAGGTGCTCCCTTCACCCCCATCCCCGTGGGAACGGCTGACCCACACCTGTCGTTTCTGACCCAGCTTGTGTGTCCTGGTGACATTCCGCTCCTGTCCCAGGTTTATTCTCCCAGGAATGCAGCCTGTAACACGGCAGCAGGACTCCTGGCCCACCCTTTCTGCAGAATCCACCCAACAGGGCTTAGTCACTAAGCACCTGGGAGTCCCTGGCACCGTGTCTGGTGCCCTGGAGGAAAGAAAGAACCTTAAAACAGAGCTTCTACACCCGAGAGGTGTCCGGCGCTGGGCTGGACAGCAGTGCATGGGAAAACCAGCACTTTGCAAGGCTGTCCCACGCAGGAGTGCCTGGGTTCATGTCCAGAGACCTCCCTGAGGGCATCAAGCAGGCACATGCCCATGACCAGGGCAGGCCGAAGCTGGGGGGTGGCTGAGTCATGGCAGTAGGACCCTATTAAGGTATCGTATCTCTGTGTCTGACGGTCATCCAAAAAAAAAAAAAAATAGAATTCACTTTCTAAGGGAATTTTTCAAAGAAGCTTCCAGTGTCGTTGGAGTGGCCAGTGCAGTCAGGTTCTGTGACGGTGGGGCGCAGAGAC